CTGGTGGAAAATAAGGTATTGAGCAAATACATCCAAATGCCAGAAACACTGGTTTCCTGGGACTTCAGTATCACCCTGGCTATTATTGCAGATAGCAAGATTATATATCTGGACATTATTGGTGCAAATAAAAGAGGTGACAGGGCATGGGGAAAATTAATTTTTCCAAGGATTAAGGAAGAAGTAACTAAGAATGAGAAATCAGCCACAGTCTGGGCACCTCTGATGTTTGCAACACTCTTGTCACCAATACATTTTTAAGAGATATTTTTTGGAAGTCTGTCCAGCTCTCACTGAGTGCACCAAAAATAACATTCAGTCCTCTGTACTTCATTTGCAGCCAAGACACCAAATTATGATGACATCCTTTGATGCTGGCAACATAAGTGAAACTGCCTAAGTGATGTATCAAGTAGACAGAATGGGAAGGATACAAATATGTTGCATCGCTGAACTGGTAATACAAGGTATTTGTAATAATAGGTGAAACTGCTGAATGTATTCAGAATGAGCAAGAGAAAATAAAACTATTTGTAGTGCCTATAATGTATTTTTGTATGATGCTTCTCCATGCTAATATAATTTTGGTGTAACTTTAAGGCAATTGCCTATGGGATAACTATTTCTGGTACCTTATTGCAGTTTAATTATCCAAGTCCATTAGTTAAATCATATTTCAAATCTCTCATCTATATTAATCAAAATCACAAGTCTTACTTCTTAACAAATGGTTATTAAAACAATAAAGACAGATGTAGAGGGGATTTCAGGCCCATGGTACTTGGATGAGTTCATATAGACAAAGCAATCATGACAGCACCTGAAGTGCAGAACACAGCGCAGAACCAAAGCATCCTGGCCTGGCCCCTGTTACCCCCCTGATACTGCATTCTTGTTTACATTTAAGACAACAGGACTCTGTTAAGCAGCAAATCAAACTTGAAGTGGCTGGAAACCAGTTCATTGATGGCTGAAGAGGTGACAATGCAGCTCATCAAGAACTGAGGGGATACCAGCCTGCTTACTTTGTACACCACCTTTAAGCTCTGGCCGTGCCTTTACAAGTGCCTTAAAACCAGGCTAGGATAACTGTAGCTGGCTGGTGGTAGTGATACCTACACCAAAACTTGTTATCCCACAAGCCCCACTATGCACAGGACTGAATTCTACTGAATGTTTCTTTAGTGAAGAAAAGAATATGTGTCATCACTAAATGATATGTAACACTGTGTACTCTGAAGTAGATGCCTTTCCACTGGCACAGATCAAATAGGTGTTTTTTTTCTATATGTGCAGGAACAAGAAGTATTCTTTCAAAATATGAATTGCATCATATTAATGAATACATCTACATAACATTAAACAAAATGACGGGAATCAGTGTGCAAGCAAAACCCTGACTGGTAAAGGGTATAAGGTTAATAGGAAACAATCATAACAGAATTCAGTTCTCCCCATTCATTTAACTAGCATCAGCTCTGTCTGACAGTGGATTTTGCTTTACCAGTTGATAAAGCTGTGTATACATTCTCTCAGACCATCTAAAACCCATTCCGCTTTCCCTGGCCAAGGAAGCCTTTTCTCTCTCAAATACCAATCACGCATAGCAAGAGAACAGTTAGCAACAACCTATAAATATTTAACGGGGCTATTAGGAAGTAAATATTCTGTTGGAAATTTGAAAAACTATTAGTGAATAGTTTTCTTTATGTAAGTGAAGGGTCCAGCTATGGTATGCTTTCATACACTTCACTGAAACATGCAACAAGTGCCTTTCAGTTCAAAAGGGAGCAAAGCTTAAGTAATGCTTTGGTACCAGACAACTTGTGTCATACCAAGTAAGAGTTATCCTGTACGTGAAACCCTAGGACTACAACAAAGTGTCTTTAAAAAGTACAAGCAGAGGAAGAAACATGATGTACAGTATGTTATTTGGTAAAAGACACACCGATTTAGCTTTGAGTTCAGATTCAGGCAAAGATCCACTGTAAGTGTGTTTACTACCTTACTTAATTGTACTTAGAAGGTATTGGCTGAGAAGGTATTCTGCATCTTCTGAACCAAAAGGCTGTACAGCCAGCTGGAGTCTACCTCCTCTCTATGTGGTTGCCCAAGTCTGTTTGTAAGCTGAATTTGGCCTGTTCTGGGAAAAGTGTCATCTGTCTGTGGTGTGGGAAAAACATTCTGTTTTTCTATCAGTTCTGTAGATGTACACACCCACATATGCTAGTCATGGAAAAACTGCATGATTCAGACAGTTCTCTATTTCAAAAATCACTGAAGGAAGTCTTACAGAAAAGAAAACAATTATCACAAAAGAAATCACAGGAAACAAAAATTAAGATTTCAGAACACATCAGTATTGCTATACCTCGGAAAATGTTGCAATTTTCATGATTTTCTTGGGCTGTTGTCACTCTTTACCAATTCTAATCAATTATGTCTCTTGCTCCAATGATTAGATAAATATCAGGAACAAAATATGTTTTCAGAAGTCTACAATTCAGTCTTACACAAAGACATATTATTTTGAGTTCTTATCTACTTTTACTTAATCCTGCAAGGATCCATTTGTCAGTGTTCTCCCTCCAGGACAGACTGCTCAGACAATGGGGCTGATGAGGTATTGCTCTCTTCTCTTTCCTGTTCCTGTTTTTTTTCTCAGTGTGTGCATATATCTATACCACTACAACATATATTTTGAAGTGAAGAAAAGCTATTCCCCCAATAATTAATGTTCTTAAAACAAAATCAACACAAGTCACATAGTGACTCAGGGGACGTCAAAAAAATCATTTTTTCAGGGAAGAAGAAAATGCTTGAAGTCTGGATTTGTAAAACCTGCTGTTCTGAGAGTGCTGTCCACCTAGTGCACACTTGAATTTGCTGTCTGCAAACATCTCCAGACAGCATTAGTACAGCATTCAACAATAAGTCCCCAGAGTGCAGCCTCACGGACTGATGGTTCATGCTTTTTGTTCAGAGTTGCTGTCATCATGCCTTGACAAAGCAGAATAAAGGAGCATCAGAAGACAGTAAAGGTGGTTATTATGGGACTTACTGAGAATCTCACTATCTGCCAGGAGGTAATACACTACAAAAGCTGCTTCAAATACAGTATACAAGTATACATGCTGCAAACTCACTGAGCTGCTGTAAAATTACCTTAGAGGAGGTAAAGAATATAGTAATTATTTGTGAAAGAATAGATGAATTATCCCATGTTTTCCTGGTGATTGAGATATTTTTTTCTTGTGTCTCTTGGCTGCCTCTTTCATCTTTTATGTTCCACAGCACAATCAGATAGCAGTAATTATCAACAAGCTTGATCCTGCCCAAACTAAAGTGAATGGAAAACTGTCAGTTGGGCTCAAAGGGAAGTGAAAATGAGACCCCAAATTAGGGAATAACAATAATCACTGGGGTAATAAGCTAAGGCTTCAGTGTTCCTATCACTTTTTCTTTGTGTGCTTTACTTATTTGCTTTAGGAAGATAATTATACGGGACCATGTAAAAAGAATATATTGCTCATACACATTAGACATGCAGCTGCCATTTCTATCTTTGGACTGCCATAAATAGAGAGGCCGTATCATTAGCAGTGTAAACTGCAAAATCTCCTCTGGGGAGCTACTGATTTAAAGGGATTACCTGGCCTGGAATTTGTACTTTCAACAAAGACAAAGGATTGATGCTTCCCACTGGGGGAAAAGTCCAGTCCACTGTTACCCTAAGAAAACATGCTCAACCACAGACAAATAATAGACAAGTTAAGCTGTTTTTGTCTTACCTGATGTTCCTTTGAATAGCTCCCTCTAGAAAGTTGCTGTAGCTGCTTCTAAATTTATTTCAAACTGCAGATTTATACAAATCTTTTATAAAAGTTTACTGCATGCGAAACATTGGCTGAATTAAGAGAATATGAGCAAGTTCTGCATTCTTTTTGAAGGCAGCAGGTCCCAAACTGCTTACAGTCTCGAAGAAACTCTCACAGAAAGGAAGGCAAAGACCATCAGTGGGCCTCATATTTTAATGCAGATGGTGAATGCAGGGAGCCAAACCATGAGAGTAGACCACATTTCCTCTCTTAAATTACTCTCCATTTTTGACAGACTTCAGCAGCCTTTGCAGCTCATTCAGGGGGTCACTGTGTCCCACTCGTCCCCAGCACTGCATCAGCTGTTTTGCCAGAAGCTGAAAGAAGTCTTAGCCCTCTCTGGCTGTTCACGTGTTTGATTTCTGGAATAGATGTGCCTTCTCTGTGACAAAACTGGCTCTCCGACATCGTCACAAGGCACTTCAAAATACTGTCAAAGTCCACTGCCAGTTTTAGAACGAGAGATCTCAGAAAAACTGCGTTCCTGCAAGTTTTGTGAAAACGTGTAGTCAGGCCCATCAGTGCTCCCACAGATGGGATGGCTGAGGCAGCCGCAGCCTCATCCACCCCACGAAGCTGCAGGCCGCGGCCTCCCCCAGAGGCACAAGATGGCTGCCCAGCCCATCGCCACACCACTGGGTGCCGCGCGGCCAAACGCCCGGGCGAAAGGGGGCAGAAAGGGCAGCAGACATGGCAGAAAGCAAAGAGCACTTGAGGGTCCCACGGGCCATAGCACAGACCTGCAGATATGATACAAGGCATGAGCCGTGGAGACAAGGCAGGCAGCTGCGACTACCTCGCCAGCGACAGCCTGTGAGGAGAAAAGGGGGAGAGCCGTTCAGAGCCGGCGGCGGCCGCTGGAATTACTTCGCGGCGCTTCACAGAACGGGCTGACGAGGGAGCCAGCCTGCGGGCAGCGGGAACGGCGCTCTCCCACCCGAGCCAGAACTCCGGAAACTTTTGCCATTCCGGCGCCGTCCCAGCACCGGGCGGGCTGTGCCGAGCCGCTCCGCCGTGCCGCGCCCGGCCCCGCCCTCCGCCCGGCGGGGGCTGCGGCGGGGCAGGGGCGGCGCCAGCGGCGGCGCGGGGCCGGGCAGCGCTGCGGGCTCTCCGGCGGGAGCCATGGGCCAGGACGTGCCCTGGCTCAACCACTCCGGCAGTCCGCGGGCGGCGGGCAACGCCTGCGCGGCGGACGGGCAGCGCGGGGGGCCCTTCGCCGCCGGCCCCGCCGCGCTGCTGGCGGCGCTGATGGGGCTGCTGGTGCTGGCCACGGTGTTGGGCAATGTCCTGGTCATTCTGGCGTTCGCGGTGGACCGGAGCCTCCGCACGCAGGGCAACTTCTTCTTCCTCAACCTGGCCGTCGCCGACCTGCTGGTGGGTGAGTTGCGGGGCGGCGGGAGGGGCGGCGCGTTGAGGTCCGCGGCGCTGCGGGTGTCACCGCCGAGCTCTGTCCGCAGGCGGCTTCTGCATCCCCCTCTACATCCCCTACGTGCTGACGGGCGAGTGGAGACTCGGCAGGGGCTGGTGTAAGCTGTGGCTGGTGGTAGACTACCTGGTGTGCACCGCCTCTGTCTTTAACATCGTCCTTATCAGCTTCGACAGGTTCACCTCTGACACCAAAGCGGTAAGGGCTGGGCAAGTGGTCCTGAGGGTGGGCATAGGGGCTCCAGGAGGGCTTGCTTAGGTCACCCGACTCCCCACCACCTTGCAGCTCACTCAAACACCACAGGAGACAGGGGAAAGTGAGCCAGTTCCCCTCAGTCCTGGAAATAGTTCTGGGAGTGATCAGCTACGGCAGAAAAAACATTTGCTTCTCACAAGAGGTACTGTTTCAGAAACAGGCACAATGTATATGCTGCTGTTCCAGCTAGAGGGGTAGAGGGAACAAGGTGTACTTATGTCCTCCCCTGCCCCACCTTGGATAAGCTTAAAAAGTATTACCCAGCTGAAACAGAGCATCTCCCTCAGAACACAACTGATCACCCACACCTGGCCAGCTACATCCCACCTGCAGCACAAGGCAGAGAGAGATGTCCTTGCAGTGGCTACCAAACTCAGGGAGAATTAGGTAGGTGTATACAGCTCTGTATGGTTCAAAAGTGGCAGAGTACAAATTAACATATTTCAAAGGATGCAAATGCTATTTCCATTTAACAGCCACAGAAATAGCTAGAGCTTTGTCTCAGTCATGCATGTTGGTTATCAAAAAAGGAGTAACTACACTGTGAAATCAAAAGCTAACTTAATTTTCACCTAGATAGACCATACTGCCTTGAAGCATTTTGGAGGGTGCCAAAATAACACATTTTACACCTGCTAATAGGTTTCAATATTCTACACACACTTTTTGGTTATTCTTCAGCCCTCTGTTCCAGCTACATTTACTTAAAACATTAATTTAGCTTAATTGTTCATTCTAAATCACACTTAGAGACAATGGTACTTTTTTTTTTGAGAAACAGTAAAAAGAGACTACATGATCACTTGAACAGTTGGCATGCAACTTAGGGTTTTACCAGCTTCTTGTGAAGAGGGAGAAATGAACAGATTAATTCTTAGTCAACACTTACAATTCCTTTATTTTCTAGGTTCTCAATTAGCCATGAATTTTGCTTTCATAATCAAACTCTTGTGACTACACACATAGTATAAATATATAGACTGGATGGTTTCAGAAACAGAAATGGAAACTGGTCATAGTAAGTGAAAAAAATTGGCCACTTGAAAGTACTTCAAATTAATCCTCCATATAAAAATCCCTCCCCAGGCAAGAGTACAGAAGCTGCCTGTTGGGTTAGGGCAGTATAAGAACATATGAACAGGAAATATATAAAGTTCTAAATTATTCTCTATCTCAATGAAAATGGTAATCATCCTACAAGACTGCTCCTGAAATCATCAGTAGCTTTGTCAAGGACTGCAAAATCAAACCCAATTCAGACAAACTCAGGACTCCTCAGGTGTGTGGGTATTCTACCCGAACAGCGTTGGCTTGGGAGATCAAAATCCACAGACCGGGGCAATAAACATGAATCCTATACAGAATTCAAGCTTGAGGAATTCATATTCCAAACGAGTTTATAACCACTGTAGACATGTATACTGAATTCCAATTCACTATATGAATATTGTTCAGTACACCAAGGAATTAGAATACTGAGAAGCAGGTGATCTTAAGATTCTACTGAATTCTACTCCTGACACAATTTACAGACTCAGTATTATTGACATACTTAGCACTTTTTTTTTTTTTGGCACCTTAACTTCTCTACTTTCTAAATAAGGGAAGTTAGTTACTTTTCATGTAAAGCACTTAGCAGACCACAAGACTCCATCTATACATCTCAACTGCAGATCAGAGTTCTGCAAATAGTTAATAAAATAATGAAATTAAGGATATCAAACAGAAATAAAAGCTGTTATGCATTAATTTTTGTGTGTGTGTGATTTTCACATTAAGAAGAAAAAGGCGCTCTCTCTACAGAGCAGAAAGAACTTGCATGGGTGTTCTATGAATTCAGATCCTTTTATGTATTTTACATTAAATTATTTAAAAATTATACATCAGTGAATTTTGATGGCCCATGGATTTAGACATTCTGCAGACTGGCAAAACAGCTAATGCAATTAACTATGTAAGCAACTGGTAATAACCAATTCAAGTTAATAACAGTGGTTATTTGCTTTGGAAAAGCCTTCGTTTTCTAGCTTTTAAGATCCAATGCAAGTTCTCAGAACATATGCAGTCACCTTGATAATGTCTGTTGGAACGGATATTTCAGAAATAGCCTTTCTGTGGTACCAATAAGTTTGATATAACCCTCATCCCTAGTATATTATCAGTCCTTACAAGTGACAGAGGGGGCCATATTCCAAGGTACCCATGTAGCTGTTTCAGACACTAGTAATGTATATGACCTAACTTTTCTCTCTCTCAGGTCAGTTACAGGGCTCAGAAAGGGATGACCAGAAATGCAATACTGAAGATGATCACTGTATGGATTGCTGCTTTTCTTCTCTATGGTCCAGCCATTCTTAGTTGGGAGCACATTGCCCAAAAGAGCATTCTCCCTGAAGGAGAATGTCATGCAGAGTTCTTTTACAACTGGTATTTCCTGATGATTGCCTCTACTATTGAATTCTTTACACCTTTCATCACTGTTACATACTTTAACTTAAGTATTTACCTCAACATCAGGAAACGCACATCCCTCAGAAATGAAAACCTACCACCTGGTCAAGAGGACTGTGAAATGCATTTCCAGGGGACAAAAAGGGAACACACTGTATTTTTTGTAAAACCTGCTAAAAGACACAAACATGAGAAGAGTGCAAGCAGGCTTTCTCCCCCAAAAAGGGCTTCAAGGTTCAGCCTACATAAGCTTAACCATCGGTCATTAAATCTGAATGTCGGTCAAGACCTTCCACCACTTCAGGTAGAAGTTGAGACCAAGCCTCTTAGGAATGGTTTCTACAAAACTACAGAAAGCATATGCAATGCCACCAGCAGAGTGGACATTGCTAACACTATGTCAAATAGATTTAGACTTTCCCGGGACAAAAGAGTAGCAAAGTCTTTAGCAATTATTGTATGTGTGTTTGGTTTGTGTTGGGCTCCATATACGCTTTTGATGATCATCAGAGCAGCTTGCCATGGGCACTGTGTGCAGCATTCCCTCTATGAGACTTCATTTTGGCTTCTGTGGGCGAATTCAGCCATTAACCCTGTTCTATACCCACTGTGTCACATAAGCTTTAGGAAAGCCTTTATAAAACTCCTGTGTCCAGGAAAAGCCAAAATTCATCCTCATGTTTTTATGTGAAAAAAAGGAAGTATGAAGGCTGACAATTAGTACATCTTGCTTTCAGTGGGAGCAGTGAACTGGCTAGTATTCACCTGCAAGTATTAAGTGCAATGTGCACTGGGTAGTTTATGGAATACTGGTAAGTAGATACAAGTGTAGATATTTATGAATGTATAAATACAGTAATCCATGCAGCTAGAGAAATCACAGCAATGAAAAGAAAGAAAATTTCTCGAAGTTCTTTGGAAAATTATGCCAACAGGTATTTTCTGGTAATAGTGCACTAGTGTAAAGTGCTGAAAAGAGAATACAATATTCACAGCCAATAATTAAGGGTTCAGGCTCACTCACTTTTAATAACTGTAAATATCACTGGTAAGGAATTTCATCAAGTGTTACCCTTGGACCTGTTACTATTTTACCCCCAAACCCACTCTAAGACACCAAGGGTCCCTGCTTTTAAGCATAGCATGCTTCCCCACACACACTGAAGAGGTAAGCCTGACAAGATTGTGACCAACGCAAAAAACTAACTACTGGTGTCCAGGAAAAGCATGGGACAACAGGCACCAGAACAGTCAGGTTACCAGAGAAGCTGAGAAGGTAGCACTGATTTGACTGGAAAAGGTGACTGAGAAATGAGAGAACTTTTAGTAGAATCAAGTTCAGGGACAGGAATATAAAAGGGTTTTGAGCTTTGTGATAGGAGATAAAAGAACTGAGAGTTTATACACTGGAAGAGTTTCACCATGAGTTTCTTCCCTCAGCTATGACTCAAGTCAAACCTCTACTCCTTACAGGACTGACAGGTCCTGTCTCTATCTGTTGCTCTAAGTACAGAATATAAGCATAAATAAGCATAATTAGTCTATGAGATCTATGACAGACAGATCTTGCTATAGACAGAGCTTTATGTAAACTTCCCTTGGAGTAATTTTTAAAAGGTTTCTAACGTTCTGGCTAGTTCTGAAAGGAAAAAAAAAAAAAAATGTTTTCCCCTACCACAATGATTGAATCTATACATCCAGTCATCAGTGGTCAAAAAAAGTATTACTTGAAATGTTTAGACATTTTCAAAGTCATGCACCATGGATAGCATGACTCAAGAAAGTCTTAAAATGTACAGCCTTGCTACTGACCATGAGTGAAAAACAAGAACGTAAACAACTACATACTCTTTCTGCCATTCTGCCTCTGCCACAAGGAGCTCACACAGCTAGATCCTAAGTTTTGACTACATTTGTCTCACGAGGTATTGATTTGAATATCACTAGTAATACAAGTTGAATCCCACCATCACAAATATTTTTTTACATAGCTTAACAGACACTTTGCTGACAAGAGTGATAGCTATTGAACAGCTGTAGTTGTCCATTGCCACAGCCAAAATGAATGTTAGTACAGTTATCTCAATGTTTACAGACAGTATTTTGAAAACATTTACTTTGTAAAATTTCAATAAAAGTAATTAAGAATTGTGGAAGACTCATTTTTCTAACCTTAACAAGTGGTACATGGGAAAAAGCACTAGCCTATAACATTTGGGTAACTGCAGTTGAAACTTCAAAACCACTATTCAAAGACAATTCTTAAGTTACAAGGACTGACCTTGAAGATTAAAAACAAACATGGTTAGCAAATATAGTAAACTAGGAGGGCACATCCCTACTATATGAATGTATGTACATGAACACGATCATCATGCTCTGCTCCAGATGTTTTGTAACAAAATCAGCTTAACAGTTCTCCTAAGAGGAACAGCATCAACAGATACAGAACAACATTAAGATTTTTTTAAACAGCATTAATTATACCACCGGGCAAGTAAAACCATTAGATTTTTTCCCCATTTCTCCTCCCTTCCAAGCCAGACTTACGCATCTGTAGATCAATGACCTAATTGTTGTCTACTCCATAATTCTTGTTTCCTAGGATCATATTTGCCTTTTTAAGAAAACAGGTAGCACTAAATTATTGGACACTCCCACCAAGGTCTCATTTACCATCCAATCAAGCCAGGACAATTTTCACAACAGTGGTCAACTCAAGGAGTAAGGAAGTTCAACCAGTTAGCTTTAGAACATTACATTCAGTTAAGGTAAAACAGACATTTCAAAGCTTTCAGCAACTGGCATTAACCTACAGACTAGATCAGTCTTCACAGGAGTTGCCACTGGCAATTGCTCTACTGCTCATTTTCCTACAGCTTTGTCATTTAATTCACTCTAGCACAAACCTACAATCCAGTAGGATTCTCCACCACTCTTAAGATATTTAATAAAATCTTTCTGAAACGTGAACACACATCACCTCAGCATCATTTGGAAAAATACTGGTTTTGAATTATAAACTTCTACATTAGAAATGCTATCAGCCTCTCAGCTTGTCCAGTTTAACTATGCCTTGATTCTCCTGACCCTACAAAACAGAAGTTCTTTTGCGTTTATCAGAAGGTTCAACATTAGCATTGGGTTCAAAAGTGGGCTCTGAAAAGACATGAAACAACAGGTGTTAATAGCAACTTTATTGTTTCACTGGTGCAAAATCATGATACTGAGTAAACTTGTGTAATGCATTTTCCCCTAAATTTACAGTAATGAAGGTTATACATATCTATATAGATTGCAATTTCTCTATTTTTATACTATTTGGAACAAAATTATCTTGATAAATATGCCCTGTGCACAGTACTGGCCCTCACTGAATGTCACAGAGCCTTAATATGCAAAATATAACTTCTGTTTTTGAACATGGTACTTTAAAACTCTCCAAACATGCATTAATATATTCTAGTTTTTAGGGAAAAATATTACACTTAGTCTTAACTTGCATTAAAAGAAAAGCACAAGCAGAATCTGACATACAATAATCCCAAAAATCTGATGCTCTGTAAGGATCAGATACAGTTTCTGATGACAGTCACTGCCAGTTTAGAACTCTAGTGCTACAGAAGCAACAGTGAACAGACAGAAGAGAAATAAGAACTGGAAGAGCCCTACCATGTCACATGGATTTCAAAGAAAATTTCAGCCATGCTAACTGACAAAACCTGTAGTTGCTGGTCCAACCTTTCAAATTTGTTAGAGTACTCAACACAAGTGTTTGAAGTGCTAGACTGAACACATGAATGCTAACTTGACATTTCTGAAAGGCACAACCTATGAATCTATCTTAAAAAAACATGGTATGTAAATGAAAAGAAATAAGTACAGTGTGTATCTTCCTAAAGAACAAGACCTTCATAAATTGGCCCCTCAGATTCTGGTGATTCCCTCCTCAGACGCAAGTGCTCCAGTGTGTTGTGAAAATGTTTGTTAATTTGTTCTGTTTCTTCAGTAGATTCAAGGTTTGGGAGATCCTCTCTTATCTTCTGTATAAGCTGATTCAAAACCTGAATTGTCACCTACAGGAGAATGTAAACAGAAGAGAAGTCATCAACAAGACCTGTATAAGTGTACAGACATTAGTTTCAGCGGACTTGTCTCTAAACTGTTGGTATTTGGACAGTTCTTAGAAATATTGATAAGACTGCATGCAAAGTGTTGGAGGCTGCCTCTTCTTGTTCCTCATAGGACCATTCAGATTTCAGAGTTCTATGGGAATTCCCCCCATCCTAGCAAACGTGAAGAACTGAAATCATTAACCTGATTGCTTTAACTTCAACCACATAATTTCTCTCTGGTCTATTCAATATAAATTTATAAAAAACTTTAAACAAGTAAAGCACATAATCAGACTGTCTACATAATCTTTCCTGTAGAAGTCAGTCAGGATGGTAATATCAGATTTAAAGATATTCTTAATGACCAAGTCATTACCTAGGAAAGTACAGCTGCCTATGGTGTTGTCCAGCACTACACAGACCACCACTGTATCTCAGATTGTTTTCTGATCTGTCAAGTGCTTTGAAATTCGAAGTTCTATTTTCATCTCCATCAGATACAGCATCTCCCATACTAAAGTACTACTATAGTGGGAAGCCAGTTCAGTTGTACAGTCAAGTCAGCAAATCCTAAAATCTCTTTAGACATTCTCTCAGAACTACATAGTATTCATTAATGTGTGCTCTTGATCAACTGATAACATCAGATAGAATGTTGATCTCTACTTGATCAAGCAGCTTTTTCGAACAGGGTAAGTTTACATTTTCTGTTAGCAGATAACTAGTATGAGATAACCATCTCAGATTTCAGATGTAGAATTTAAACTGGTACATGAGAGGTCACATTCATTTCTTGAAATTAAAGTTTACACCAACCATTTGTGGCACGCTCAGCAGTGATGTCAAACACCTCTAAGAATTTTCTTTCCCTTATGTACATACTAAGTGGAGAGCAGTGATGAGTGGTGTTCCTCAGGGGTTGGTGTTGGGACTGGCCCTGTTTAACATCTTTGTCGGAGACATGGACTGTGGCATTGAGCACACCCTCAGCAAGTTCACCTATGACACCAATCTGTGGCATGCACTGACACTCTGGAGGGAAAGGATGCCATCCCGAGGGACCTGGACAAGCTAGAGAGGTGGGCCCATGCAAACCTCATGAAGTTCAACAAGGCCAAGTGCAAGGTCCTGCCCATGGGTCAGGGCAATCCCAGGCACAAATACAGGCCGAACAAAGAGCGGATTGAGATCAGCCCTGAAGAGAAGGACTTGGGAGTGTTGGTTGTTGAAAAGCTCAATATGACCCAGCAATGTGCACTCACAGCCTAGAAATCCAACTGTGTCCTGGGCTGCATTAAGCGCAGTGTGGGCAGCAGGTCGAGGGAGGGGATTCTCCCCCTCTACTCTGCTCTCGTGAGACCCCCCTGCAGTACTGTGTCCAGCTCTGGGGCCCCCAACATCAGAAGGACACGAACCTGTTTAAGCGGGTCCAGAGGAGGGACACAAAGATGTCAGGGGCTGGAGCACCTCCCCTGTGAGGCCAGGCTGAGAGTTAGGGGTGTTCAGCCTGGAGAAGAGAAGGCTCTGGGAAGACCTGATAGCAGCCTTGCAGTGCTTAAAGGGGGCTACATGAAAGATGGGGATGGACTCTTTATCAGGGAGTGTAGGGATAGGACGAGGGGTAATGGCTTTAAACTGAAAGTGGGTAGATTTAGATTATATATAAGGAATAAACTCTTTCCTGTGAGGGCGGTGAGGCACTGGAACGTGCTGCCCAGAGGAGCTGTGGCTGCCCACTGTCCTGGTTCAGGCTGGAACAGAGTTCATGTTCGTTTGGTAGCTGGAGGAGTGCTGATGCACACTGAGATTCCCAGAGCCTCTCCAGCTCCACCTGCCCTGCCTGTGTGCGGGCGCTTGGGGGGCAGGTGGAGCACAGCTCGAGTGCTGGGCCCGGATTGGCCAATATTCCATGTCATGTGACCATATGCTCACTATATAAAGGAAGGAGTGGGTGGGAAGGTGCTCTCTCACTTCCGGGAGTGTTGCTGCTGCATCTTTGTGTTTGGGATCGCCAGCCGGGAACAGGTGGGTGTCGATCAGCAGGTGATGAGCAACTGTATTGTACATTACCCATTTATACTGTCATTGTATTATTCTATTACTCTTATTAAACTGTTTTTATCTCAACCCGAAAGTCTCCCTTTGCCCCCTCCAATTCCCTCCCTATTCCCAAGTGGGCAGAGGGTTGGTGAGCAGCTGCATGGCATTTAGCTGCTGACCAGGCTCAAACCACAACACCCCTCCCTGGAAGGGTTCAAGGCCAGGTTGGACCGGACTTTGAGCAACCTGGTCTGGTAGAAGACATCCCTGCCCATGGCAGGGGGATTGGGACTAGGTGATCTTTAAGGTCCCTTCCAACCCAAACCATTCTGATTATATTGTTAGGTACCTCTAACATTAGAATCTTACTGCTTTCTCACCTAAGTTATAGTAAGTTTTGATCTAATAAATATTTCAGGTATCCAAGTCTCTCAGTATTTAAGTTGATAGCTAAACTGTAAACGTTTGTCATTTTCCCCCATGTAAGAATGAAGTTTTATCCACAATTTTACTAGCATATCAAGAATTAACTACTCTGTGGTTATTACTGGAACTTGTGCCTCTTGTGAGAGGCTACAGAACAAGCTGACAAGACATGATTTGGGGTTCAAGTCTAACTGAAGAGCTTACAGAAACGTTCTTTAAAAAAGATGCAATAGAGAGAATGCACTTCCACTCACCGCCTCATTTTCCTTCTCATAAAAATAGATATATCTATTCAGAATTTCTATGAAAAGTTGGACTTGCAGAGAAGGGTCCATGCACTGATTTGCTATCTTCAGAGCCTTCTTTAGGCATTCCATCACTCTCTTTCCTCCATGAAGCTAGAAGGCAAAACCCAAAAAGTTGCAAGAAATAGAAGAACCTTAGGGAGCTCCCTTATCTCTTCTCTTGGTGCACAGATAGCATTTCCTGGTGGTCTACTACAGAAACACAAAACTACACAAACTGTGCAGAATGAGCTGTCATTGAAAGCTTGCATTGCTTGACTGCCACCAATTTTAAGTTTTGTTAGATCAGGCAATAACGAGTGGTTGTTGAAAGCCTTCAATTATGAGATCAGTTAACTCAACCTTAATATGTACACTAATACATATGTTGACAAACAGATTTCAAACACTGCTCTTTATAATTACAACAGCTTATGTGGCAACCAGTGAACATACAACTTAATTTTTTTTTACCTTTAACTTCAACAACTTGTTTCTTTCATTTGGAAGTTCAGTAGTTCATGTTCAAACACAGTTACCATAATAAACACATGCAAAATGTAGACTGTAGTTTGACAGCCAATCTTAAACTAGTTGACACTCAAAACCTTGCATGGTACTTGAACCCTTAAATTTGAGTTTTCTCCACTTCTATATTTCTGCAGCTTACACTGCAGTGAGATACAGAAGTTTTCTATATTAGAATACACTTCAACTACATCTACATCATTAAGTGATATACCTACTTCAGAAGTGCCTTCAGAAGAAAGGCAGAACTATGTTACCGAGGTAGAATGTGTAATGCTGCTGTCGCTTTATTCTTACCTCCTCTCCATTCCTGTCAGTATTTCGGCCAGACCAAAACAAATGGGCACAAGTGCTCACAGCCCGGCATTGGTCTGGCTTCTTAAGGAGCTTAGAGGCTGCCAGTGCACACTGAGTCCTCAAAGGCTCATGGTTCTCCTCACTGAAGCACTTCATCCTCTCAAATGTCCCAATTATCAAGGTGATTGCAGCCAACTGTGCTTTTGAATCACTGATTTCATCTTCATACAGAGAGAAGGCCTAGTCAGGGGAGAAAGCAAAACATTTGATCACAAAAATTCACACCCGCTAGTGACATGGCAGGGAAGTGTCCAGTTCCACATTTAAAAGTTTCAGGCAGGAAAAAAGATCTTTCACTGAAAGTGTCAAAATCAAGTTAAATCCACAGACTGGAAATAAGTCTTGCAAGAAATTCTTCTTACTTAAGCAGTCATAGTAAACAAATGTGATCCTACATATAATCTAAAGATTGAGTTTTTCCTCATTTCAAGCATCTGTTCAGCTACAGAACTTCAGTAGCAGAAATAGTCCCTGAAGCAGCTTTGGTTCTTTGAAACACACAAAACTGGTTTTATACTTGTTTACATTTTTTTATACTTGTATACAGTGTTTTTACAACAGAGTTGTTTATAATCAGTTTCAACACAAGGATTTTAATTAGCAAAGCCTGGCATAGCAGTTGTAAACACTGAAAATTCTAGAGAACTTCCAAAGAGCGCTTGTGGTCAGAGCAATACCAGCTAGATAATGAGACAGTCTTAGAAGCAGTGCAGCAGCATTTTATGTTGAGAAGCTACACTCCTCCAGTGAATCAACTATGAGTAGGAGGCA